AACACTGGAACAACACAGATTGAAAATCAATGATTTTGAGCTCTTGGGGCCCTCTTGACCTCCTGGGAGCTTCTTGGGCCATCATAATGGAGCCATCTTGGGCGGCTTTGAGCGATCTTGGGCCGTCTTGGCGGCTTCTTGCCGCCCTCAGAAGCCGTGGTGAACGCCTCGGGTAGCCTAAAAAGCTTCCGGGACTCCGAAAATGAGCCCCGGACCCTGGGGGCTAAAGTCGGTTACGGGGGGGAAATTTGAAAAAATGTGCGGCCGCGGTCCCCTGGGCTCTGGACGCCCGTCATGTGATATGTCTTTGTATATATATATATACACACAAAGACATACATACATACATACATACATACATACATACATACATACATACATACATACATGCATGCATGCATGCATGCATACATACATACATGCATGCATGCATGCATGCATGCATGCATGCATGCGTACATGCATACATGCATACATGCATACATGCATACATGCATGCATGCGTACATGCATACATGCATACATGCATACATGCGTACATGCATGCATACTGACATACATACGTACATACGCACGTGCGCATGTACATACATCCATACAAACACATATACATACATACATACATACATACATACATACATACATACAGACAGACAGACAGACAGACAGACAGACAGACAGACAGGCAGACAGACTGACTGACAGACAGACAGAGAGACAGACAGACAGACTGACAGACAGACCTACATACGTGCATGCATGCATGCATGCACGCGTACATAGATACATGCATACATTCATTCATACATACATATAAACAAACATGAATACAGTCATAAAGAACAACAAACAAACGTATATACATGAATGACTGCCTGCATGCATGCATGCATGCGTACATGCATACACACACATACATACGCATGTAATTTACACATACAAATACATATACATATACGAGAGCGCGTTTCACGGGTGCTTGCCTTTCGGCGGCGCGTTTCGAACCGGGGTGTGCCCCCCCCCCAACATTCGGCGACGTCGATCAGAACCAGGGGATCTCCCCTCCCCCCTAACCCCCCTCCTCCCGAACCCCCCCAAGAAAGGAAAAGAAATTCGAACTTCCCCAATATGTTCTCTTCCGGCTTCCCGGGGGGGGGGGACGGGGTTCGAAACCCCCCCTCTCTCCCCGGTGCCGGTTCTGGCGGCGCTTGCGCTAGCGGCGGCCGGCAGCACCAACGGCAGCCGCAGCGACGATGACCAGAGAGAGCTCAGGAGCCGCCACGGGAAAATACAAATTACCATATCGAGCCTGCGCTTCCCAAAAGCCACGAGGGGCCCATGGGAAGTTTTCAGAGACGCTCAAGAGGCGCCCAGGAGCCCTCACGCATGCTCCTCAGACGCCCCCGGGACACCTCCCTCTGACGAGACCCCAGGAGGCATCCATTGGAACTGCAACCCAAAGCCAAGACACGATGACGGGAAGACCCGAAGGCCACAACACCACCACCACCACCACCACCACAAATCACCACACCACCACAACCAACACCACCGCCACCACCAACACCACTACAACCGCCACAACCCGCCACCGCCACAACCACCACCACCACAACCACAAACCACCGCACACCACCACCACCACAACCGCCACCACCACCACCACCACAACCCACCACTATACACAACAGCCACAACAACCACCACCATAAACCACCACAACACCACCACCGCCACCGCCACCACCGTCACCATAACGCACCACCACCACAACCCACCACCACCACCACAAACCACCACACCACGACCACCACAACCACCACCGCCACCACCACCACCACCTCCCACAACCCACTATCATCACCACCACCACAAACCATCACGCCACCACCACCATCACCGCCACCACCACTACCACCACCACCACACATCCACCACCACCACAGCCACCACTACCACCACAACAACCAACCATCACCACCACCACCACAACAACAACCCACCACCACCATCACCACCACCACCGCAGCAACCCACCACACCACCACCACCACCGCCACAATCACCACCACCACTACCACCACCACAACCAACCACCACAACAAACCACCACACCACCACACCACCACACCACCATCACAAACCACCACACCACAACCACCACCGCCACCGATTCGACGACCACAAACCACCACACCACCTCCACAACCACCACTACCGCCACAACCACCCCCTCCATTACCACAACCACCTGCCACCACCACCACCACCACCACCGCGACCACCACAACCATCACCACCACAAACCACCACCACAACAACCACAAACCACCCCACCACCACCACAACCACCACCACCATAACAAAACACCACACCACCACCACTACGACCACCACCACAACCCACCACCACCGCCACTACCACCACCACCACCACTTCGCGGCACAACCACTACCACCACCACAACCAACACGACAAACCATCACATCAGCACCGCCACAACCACCACAACCCACTACCACAACTACCACCACCGCCACCAGAAACAACCACACCACCACCACCACCACCATCACAACCACCGCCACCACCACCACCACAACCCACCACCACCCACCACCACCACAACTTCCAGAACCACCACACCACCACACCAGCACCGCCACCACCACCATCACCCACAACCCACCACCACCAGCACAACCACGAGCAGCAGCACCACCACCAACACCACAGCCACCACAAACCACCACGCCACCACCGCCACCACCACAACCAACCACCACCACCACCACCACAAGCCACCACACAACCACCACCACCACAACAAACCACCACCACTACAACCATCGCCACAATAACCCACCACCACCACCACAACAACCCACCATCACGACCACCAACAACATCACAAACCACCACACCACCACCACCCCCGCCACCACCCGCCACCACCACCACCACAACCACCACAACCCACCACCACCACCACAAACCGCAACACCACCACCACCACCACCACCACCGCCACCAAAATCACCACACAACCAGAACAACCACCACCACCAAGACAGCCGCCACCACCACCACCACCACCACCGCGACCTGCCACCACCACCACCACCACCACCACCACAACCACCATAACCCACCACCACCACAACCACCACCATATCCACAAACCACCACATCACCACTACCACAAACGCCACCACCACCAACACCACAACCCACCACAACCAACCACAAACCACCACCACCACACAACCACCACCACACCACGACACAACCACACAACAACACAACACCACCACACAACCACACAAAGCAACCCACCACCACCACAAACCACCACACAACTACCACCACCACCACCACAACACAACACAACATCACCACCACCACCACCACCAAACCAACCACACCACCACAACCACCACCACAACCACCACCAACACCACCACCAACACCACCCACCACCAACACGACCAGAACCACCACCAGCAGCAGCACCACCACCAAGACCACAGCCCACCACCACAACCACCAGAACCACCACAAACCACCACGCCACCACCACCACCGCCACCACGACTACGACCACCACCACCACAACCCGCCACCACCACAGCACCGCCACCACCACAACCACAAACCACCATACAGCCACAGCCACCACCACCACCACAACAACAACCCACCACCACTACCACCACAATCCACCAACACTACCACCAACACCAATCCACCGCACCACCACCACCGCCACAGCCACCACCATCACAAACCACCACCACAACCCAATACCACCAACACCACCACAAACCTCCACAACCCACAACCACCGCCACGAACCACCACACAACCACCACCACTGCCACCACCAAAAACCACCACACCACCACCACCACCACCACCTCACCACCACCACACCACCGTCACCACCACAAACCACCACAACTACCACCACCACCACCACGAGCACCACCTCCACAACCCACCACTGCCACAACCAACCTCCACCACAAACCACCACGCCACCACCACCACCACCACCGCCGCAACCACCACCACCACCACAACCCACCACCACCACCTCAAACCATCACACCACCACCACCACCAACGCCACCAACGCCCACCACCACCACAACCACCACAACCACCACCACAACAAAACACCACACCACCACCACCACAATCCACCACCACCGCCACCACCACCACCACAACCAACCACCACCACAACCACTACCACCACCACAACCACCACGACAAACCACCACACCACCACCGCCACCACCACCACCGCCACAACAACCCACCACCAGAACTACCATCACGACCACCATAAAGCACCACACCACCACCGCCACCACCACCACCACCACAACGTGCCACCACAACCACCACAACAACCACCACAACCACCACAACAACCACCACCACCACATCCCACCATCACCACCACCTCAGAGAGGCCCCAAGAGACGCCCAAGAGGCGCCCAGGAGGCTTCACAAATGCCCTTCAGAGGCCCCCCAGAGCCCTCCGACGAGACCCCAAGAGGCATCCAAGACCAAGGCACTGTGGCGGAGTGTCGTCGTCGTCGTTGTCGTCATCATCGTCGTCGCCGTCGTCCAAGATGGGCAGAAGGCAACATTGGGAGGTGGCGGCCTCGATGACACCAGTTGGGGGGTACGTCCAGTGTGACCTCACATACGAAAACGTGTCACGCATACTCGCCTTCATCCTCGTCCTCCTCCTTCTCCACCTCCTCATCCTTCTATCCTCTTCCACCTCCTCCTCTCCTCCTCTTCCTCCTCCCTCGCCTCCTCCTCCTCCTCCTCCTCCTCCTTCTCATCATCCCCCTCGCCAGTCGACGTGTCACGCCGTGTTGTGTCCCTCATCCTCATTCTAAGGATCCTCCTTCTGGGGACGACAGGCTTCAAATGTGACGGCCTTCCTCGTGCTCCTCCACCTCGTCCTCCTCCTCCTCGCCGTATTCTTCCTCCCCTCGTCCTCCGCATCCTCCTCATCCCATGTCATGCGTCACCTCTCCAGGGAGGGCGGCACGCGTCACACGTGACGGCCTTCTCGGCGGTGCTCGCGAGGCCGCCACGCAGAGTGCTGCGCTTGCAAGGTGGCGGGACCTGCTGCAAGCATCAGGGCGGGCATGTCATCCTACAGGTGGACCTTGGACGAAAAAAAAAACCGAAAATACCCAACAAGCACCAAAATGTAGTCGGAAAATCGTCCCTGGGCTATTTGTTCAACTATTTTTGAATATTTCTCCTGTAGAGGGACACGCTCGACTTAACGCAAGCAGCTGGATACTTGGTGGGCAAACCTTCAAACGATAATCATCTCACGCCGAGCCCTGGCGCACGCGAAGGGCATAAAATTGAAACGTCCCCCTCTGCAGGACGATGGGACAGCGAGGAGGGAGAGTAAGAGAGGAAGCAGCTGCAAACACATGGGGCGGCGCAGGAGGTGCTGCCACGGGGGCCAGCGCCGAACCAAGAAATCTTCGTTTCTTCCTTTTCCTGTTCGGACGGAAGCGGAAAGGCTGGCTGACGGCAGAAAGGTAACAAGGAGAGCCAGTGAGACGCTGCAGCAGGACTGCTCAGTCTGGATAACCTGATATACATCAGGCGCAACTCTCACTGCATATATACATACATACAAATGACACGCGTCACGGGTAGTGTATGCCAAGTTGGCAATACGTTGCCACGAAACCTCCCTCGTCAAACACCGAGTGGACGCCCCTGCCTGGCAAACGAACTATAGGTGTGCCATGCCGACAGCCCTGAAGCCGTAGGCGTGTCAGGCTGCTGTAGCGTGTCAGCTCTGCTCTCCGAGTCTGCCTCATGGGCTGGCACGAGGGGTCGGAGAGTCCAAGATGTCCCAAGATCTGAAGTTCATCCAAGATAGAAACCCATCATAGCCCCAAGAGGTCGGAGCGTCCAAGTTGCCCCAAGATCTCCTCATGTATACAAGATAGGAATCCGTCATCGCCCCAAGAGGTCGGAGTGCCCATGATGTCCCAATATCTCCACAAGCTCGTCAAGCTTATCCAATATGTGAATCCATCGTCAACCCCAGAGGACAAAAAACAACACGACTACAAGAAATATCCAAGAGGCTACGAAAGGCTGCAAGAAGGCCAGAGAGGGATTCGAGCGAATCACGCCAAGATAGGAAACTTCAAGACCTGTAGCTCAACCAAACTCTGATCATCCATGTCGCGGCAACACCAGAAGAAGAGCGCAAGGCTGAACTCCGCTTACTTAACTGAAAGGAAGATACAAGAAGCAACGCCAAAGGAACCACACTGCAGTGGAGGCCAGTCCACAAGAAACCGTCCACAAGAAACCCAACCCTGAGACCCCAGGGCGTCCATTGATTTTTGGTGGGAACGTAACGCTTTGAATAGCAAAATCCGCCGACTCTGTCGGCGTGTAACATGGGCTGTTCCGTCGCCATCGCCGTCGCTGCCGCCGTCGCGTCGCCGCCGCCATCACGTCCCCTCCTTCCCCTGAGTCCGTCGCCGCTCCCCCCCTTTCCTTGGGCTCTCGTCCTCAAGCACGCCAGCCAAATCGAAATACACCAGCCCATCCACAGCGGAATGAAGCAGCGCTGTCATGGAGCCGAAGGGAAGCCCCTTCCCTTTGGATCCCTTCCCCGCGGAGAGACGCGGGGGTGGGGAGAAGGGGGCCGGGGGGGGTTCCTGGGGGGTGGTCCCGCGGGATTGTCCCGGGTCAAAATGCTGCAGAGGGAAACAATGAGTGAACACCCCCCCTGCACTCCAAACTCAAGGTTGGCACGCGCGGGGGAGACTGCGGTCGAGGTGCAACTCATCAGACCCACCGCCAACTTTTGAACATTGGGGGGAGGGGGAGGCGTTCACAGGTGAATGTGGCATGAGTGTTCGCTACTTTTTTTTCCGAGGCCTGTACCACCCTCCCAGAGCGTGTTGGGAGGGCGCAAGGCCGAGGCCGAGGCCCCCAGGGTCGGCGGCACTGGCCGTAAGGCCTCAGCAGTCATTGAGACCAAAAGAGCCCACGCCACCCTGCAGGCGTGCAGGGTGTCTCTTGGCATGGATCTCCACTGCGAGCTAAGATTAGCTCTGTACATGATCTCCACGGCCTGATGAGGCCAATCCCTACTATGGTTTGACTGGGGCCCCCGAACTTGTCCTGCTTATGCTCCTCCATATACTCGTCTGTGGCAACTTATGGGAGCCTCCCATACCACCTTGTCTGCTCGTGCAAATCGACGCTCATGGAGTCTAATCGACGCTAAATCGACGCTAATCGACGCTCATCGGCGCTCATCAACAAAAAATCGGCACTATCTCATCGACTACCAGACGCTACTCAACGCCAAATACAATCTCTAAAGAAAGAATTACGAGAGTACACAAGGCTCCCATGATCTGCTACTGAACATCCGCTCTCATGACATATCGCATAGGAATCGTTCCTGAATGGATTCGTGAGACGAAGAAAAGGCATAAACTTACACATTTGGCTCTCCGCGCGGATTTCTCGGATCTGCCCGGACCACCCTCCCTGGCGCGCGGAGCGCGCCAGGGGCGGCGTCGGAGGCGTCGGCGGGGGAGCCCAGCGCGGATCCAAGAAATCCGCGCGAAGCGCCAAAAAAATATGTTTATGCCGTTATTTATTTTTCGAGCGAATGCACATGCCACCAGTCGCAACCCCCTGCAGCTCTTCGGGTCCTCCACCCCCCAGCCCTCCGCAGCCGCGCTCAGCCTTCAGCTCAGGCCGACACTTCGCTGAAGAAGCCCATGGTATTGCCGCTGCCGCTGCCCGACGTGCTTGCCTCTCTTGTGATGGACGACTGGCAAAAGGCTTCTGCCTGCGGCGGGATGAAGGTGGACAGCAGCGCCTTCTGGGTCTGACCCTGGGTGATGTCCGAGAGATCCTCGGGACTCTGCTGATTGAGCCAGACCAAATACTTCTTGGCATAACTACGTCCGAGCCAGAACGAGTGGGGGTTGACGCTCAGCTTACGCTGGAACTCGGCTGGCTCGACGAGGAAGAGGACGCTCTCCTTGACAGCCGTGAGCGTCCCGAGGTGCAGCCACTGCTGGGTCCAAAGGATGGGCTCCGCGATCCAGTCCTCGTTGTGTTCCACGCTCTCGCCCTGCGTCTCCCGGACGGAGAATAGGTGCCGCGAGTACTCGAGCCTTCCGTCCACGACCAGCGACATGTGAGTTGCCTTCTCTGCTGGTAGGAAGAGAAAATCGTCCCTCGCGAAGTGCTTGGTGCTGACCGCCGTCTTGGACAGGCGCTGCATCGTCTCGCTGCAATCATCGCAGAGGCGCTTGAACAGCGGAAGCACTACAAAATGGATCGCATTCAGCTCATACTGCAACTCACCGAGAAGCTGCTCCGACAGCAGGCCTAGAATGGCGATGCTCTTGACCTCGCGCGTCTTGTTCTGGGATTGCCAAGCGTGCTCCAGGTACTTCTGAATACGGAGCGACAGACTCACGGGCACCTTGTTCTGTCTGAGGAAGCGGCGCAGATCCCAAAACTGCCTGGACTCGGTCTCCCCTAGCTGGCGCAGCTGCGATATGGAGCCCGTGATGCTCCCGACGTTGTAAGAGAACCCGACCAACCCGAACACCACGATGAAGACGGTGAACGTTCGCTCGGCAATGTTGTGTGGTTGCACGTCCATCGAGGCAGGCGTAAACTGCGTCAGCGACCAATGCAACGCCGTCATGTACCAGTACTGCCACTGCTGGTCCATGAAATGCTGCTGCTTCAACCACGTGGGGCCGTCCTCACGGGTGTCCGCAATCAGGAACCAGAAGCAAGCCACAAAATGGTTGATCGCCAGCAGCAACAAAATCATTTTCGCAATATTGCTGAGAATGCTCATGTACTCTGAATTCAAAAGGTCGTCGAAATTCTTGAACCCGCCACCGTCCCTACGGCACTCGCAAGCGTGTTAGAACCTGGGCTGGTACGGATGCGGAAAGAGCGGTTTAGTGGAGCCTCCCCGAGAGTACTCATGATGGCGCCGCCCGCTCTTGGGAGACGTGGCGTTAAGAGATGTGTACGTAACTGGGAGCTCTGCTTGGGGGCCTTGGCGCCAGGAGGTTTTTTTCGGCGTGACCTTTAGCCCTTAGGAGCCGTGTTGCCGCCACTTTCGAGAGCTGCTGGGGGGCCCAGCAAAGTGGGTACACACGGCAGGCTCAAATGGGACCTCGCCATCCCTGGGGGGCTGCGATCTGTGAAACTGTCGCCACTTTCGAGGCCTGCTGGGGGGCCCAGCACAGTGGGTACACACGGCGGGTTCAAATTGGACCTCGCCATCCCTGGGGGGCTGCGATCTGTGAAGCTGTCGCCACTTTCGAGGCCTGCTGGGGGGCCCAGCACAGTGTGTACACACGGCGGACTCAAATGGGACCTCGCCATCCCTGGGGGGCTGCGATCTGTGAAACGGTCGCCACTTTCGAGGCCTGCTGGGGGGCCCAGCACACTGGGTACACACGGCGGACTCAAATGGGACCTCGCCACCCTGGGGGGCTGCGATCTGTGAAACGGTCGCCACTTTCGAAGCCTGCTGGGGGGCCCAGCACACTGGGTACACACGGCGGACTCAAATGGGACCTCGCCACCCCTGGGGGGCTACGATCTGTGAAACGGTCGCCACTTTCGAGGCCTGCTGGGGGGCCCAGCACACTGGGTACACACGGCGGACTCAAATGGGACCTCGCCACCCCTGGGGGGCTACGATCTGTGAAACGGTCGCCACTTTCGAGGCCTGCTGGGGGGCCCCGCACAGTGTGTACACACGGCGGACTCAAATTAGACCTCGCCATCCCTGGGGGGGCTGCGATCTGTGAAACTGTCGCCACTTTCGAGGCCTGCTGGGGGGCCCAGCCGCCGACACGGACCCCAGGGGGCGTGTCAGGAACTGCGCCGAGCAAGCGCCTCCCCTCCCAGGCCCCCGCCCGTGGGGCCAAATCCCTGTACAGACCTTCTCTGGCATCCGCACGTTCCGTCACCTGGGCCAACACCCCCTGAATGGCAGGCGTGCGATAAGCGAAGGCGCATGCCGCGCTAAGAAGGGCTCGGCTTGAGGTTCGGGGGACCTCCCCGTCTCAAGCGGAATGCCCGTTTCCAGGCCGCCACGGAGGCGGACAGAGCGCTTCAGGAACTTGTCCGAGAGGGCGGATGACCCTGTTCGCTCTTGGAGGCATCTGCGTTCAAAGCTTATTCACATCACTGTTCTATCTTGGGATCTTGGGAGCCTTGGTGGGAAGAGCCTTTTTCACGTCATCGTTTGCTCTTGAGAGGCCTGGCGTTGAGAGCTGTCTAGGTGTGAAGAGATGTTTACGTCACCGTTCACTCTTCGGAGCCTTGGATTCAAGAGCTGCTCACGTCACAGCTCGCTCTTGGGAGCTCTTGGTAGCCCTGGCGTTAAGAGTTTACTGCGCCACTGCTCGCTCTTGGGACACGTGGCATTGAAAGCTGTTCGCGTCACCGACTCGTGTAAAAAAGATGTTCCATCTGCCTGGTGTTCCTGGGAGCATTGGCGTCACAGCAGCGTCCGTCATTGGACAGTCTGAGGGAAGGTTCTCTGAGGGCCCTTTTGGGTGTCTTGGGGCCCTCTTGGGCCGTTCTGTCTGAGGCCCTCTTCGGCCGTCTTGGGGGGCTTGGCCCATATTGGAGCCCCCTTGGGGCCCTGCTCGGCCCGAGAGCAGATCTTAACCGTGAAATGTGACACTACGCTATGACACTACGCTAACTTCACGCTAACCGTAGCGTAGTGTCATAGCGTAGTGTCACGCCCAGGTGCCCCCGACACTACGCTATGACACTACGCTAACTGTAGCGTAGTGTCATAGCGTAATGTCACGCCCAAGTGCCCCCAACACTACGCTGTGACACTACGTTAACCGTAGCGTAGTGTCATAGCGTAGTGTCGCGCCCAGGTGTCTCCAACACTACGCTATGACACGCTAGCCGTAGCGCAGTGTCACAGCGTAGTGTCACGCCCAAGTGTCCCCAACACTACGCTATGACACTACGCTAACCGTAGCGTAGTGTCATAGCGTAGTGTCACGCCCAGGTGCCCCCAACACTACGCTATGACACTACGCTAACTGTAGCGTAGTGTCATAGCGTAATGTCACGCCCAAGTGCCCCCAACACTACGCTGTGACACTACGTTAACCGTTGCGTAGTGTCATAGCGTAGTGTCACGCCCATGTGTCTCCAACACTACGCCATGACACGCTAGCCGTAGCGTAGTGTCACAGCGTAGTGTCGCGCCCAAGTGCCCCCAACATTACGCTATGACACTACGCTAACCGTGGCGTAGTGTCATAGCGTAGTGCCACACCCAAATGTCTCCAACATTACGCTATGACACTACGCTAACCGCAGCGCAAAATCCTCTGTCACGAAGCAAAGTCCAGCGAGGCAAAACCCTAAGGAAATGCAAAGCCAAACAACGACAACAAACAAACTCTTCCCGTTCCCTCCGCCTCAACCGTTGCGTAGTGTCATGGCGTAATGTCACGCCCAGTTGCCCCCAACACTACGCTATGACACTACGCTACCGGTAGCGTAGCGTCCTCTCTCACGGAGCAGAATCAAGCAAAACCCCAAGGGAAAGCAAACGAAAAACAACTATTCCTTCTCCCCCCGCTCAACCGTAGCGTAGTGTCATAGGGTAGTGTCACGCCCAAGTATCCCCAACACTACGCTATGACACTACGCCAACGGTAGCACGGTGTCCTCTCTCACGGAGCAGAATCAAGCAAAAACCCAAGGGAAAGCAAACGAACAAAAAAGCTAGTTCTTCTCCCCCCGCTCAACCGTAGCGTAGAGTCATAGCGTAGTGTCACGCCCAGGTGTCCCCAACACTACGCTATGACACTACGCTAGCGGTAGCGTAGTGTCCTCTCTCACGGAGCAGAGTCAAGCAAAACCCTAAGGAAAAACAAAAGAACAAAGAAGCGTGTTCTTCTCCCCCTGCTCAACCGTAGCGTAGTGTCCACTCCCACGGAGCAGAATCAAGCAACACCCAAAGGAATAGCAAACGAGAAAAGGGAAACAACAAAACAAAACAACAAAAAAAAACGATTCCTTATCCTCCGCCTCAACCGTCGCGTAGTGTCATAGCGTAGTGTCACGCCCAAAGGCCCCCAACACTACGCTATGACACTAGGCTAACGGTATCGCAGTGTCGTCTCTCACGTAGCAGAGTCAAGCAAAACCATAAAGGAAAGCAAACAAAAAAACAATCCTTCTCCCCCGCCTCCACCGTAGCGTAGTGTCACAGCGCAGTGTCAAGCCCACGTGTCCCCAACACTACGCTGTGACACTACGCTACGGGTAGCGTAGTGTCCTCTCTCACGGAGCAGAGTCAAGCAAAACCCCAAGGAAAAGCAAACGAAAAAACAATTCCTTCTCCCCCGCCTCAACTGTAGCGCAGTGTCATAGCGTAGTGTCACGCCCAGGTCTCTCCAACCGTACTGTCATAGCGTAAAAACACGCCCAAGTGTCCCCAACACTACGCTATGACACTACGCTAATCGTAGCGTACAGTCATAGCGTAGTGTCACGCCTAAGTATCTCCAACACTACGCTATGACAATACGCTAACCGTAGCGTACTGTCACAGCGTAGTGTCACGCCCAGGTGTCCCCAACACTACGCTACGACACTACGCTAACGGTAGCGTAGTGTCACACCCAGGTGTCTTCAACACTACGCTATGACACTACACTAACTTTACTTTCTTCACGGTAAGATTAACCCTTGTTCGGCCCTCTTTGCGGTCTCCTACAACAGTCTGTGGGTTCTCTTGGGACCCTCTTGGGGCTCTCTTAGGCCCCTCTTGAGCTGTCGTGGAAGATTGAACATCCTGCGGCCCTCTTGGACCGTCTTGGGGCCCTCTTGAGAGCCTCCCAGACGGTATTGGGGCAATCTCGGAGAACCTCAGTAAGCACAGACCAAAACAATATCAAAGAGGGGAAGACAGAGTCGAAAAATCGTTCGCCACCTCCCGAATGCTGGGCCCCTCGCGGCGCCCGCCAAGAGCGCGGGCGCCCTGTCTACGACCCCGAAGGGCCCCCCAAAAGTTGTTACTCTTGAACAGCGCCAGGGTCGAAAATCACCCTGGATCCCGTAAGGGCGAGGAAAAGCTTAGACCTCAAGCGCAACAGTCACACACACACACACACACACACACACACACACACACACACACACACACACGCACACACACACACACACACACACACACACACACACACACACACACACACACACACACACACACACACACACACACACACACACACACACACAACAACGCACAACCTGCGTATAAACTGTTCAGGGGGTTGGTCGCCCGGGTCGGCCCCTCCCGATCGGGCCCTCACGAATCGCCAACAAAGCCCAGGCGGGCGCCCTCGCGCAGGTCCCGCCCCCGACCCAGAGGAACATGAAACCTCGGACCAGCGCCGCTCGGCGGCGAGTTCGGCAGACATTGCGACGGCCGATGTCTGACGCAAAACCCCGTCGGCCGATCGTTTGAAGATAGTGCCCGGTCAAAAGATACGGAAAACATAGCTCCGTGCCAGCGTTTGCCCCTTCACTCAGAGCCGCCTTCGGCCGATCTGGGCTCAAGGGGACGACCCAAAAATCAATGAGAAACCGAAGGGCCTATCAATATGTATTGTCTCCTCAGGCCGTTCTGGGGGTCCTCCTGGAAGCCTTCTGGAGCATTCTGGGGGCCCCTCGGGCCGTCTTGGGAGGCTTGGGCCGCCTCGGGGCCCTCTTCGGACCACTCTTGGGGCCTCCTGTGGCTCTTGGGCCCCTCCTGGGGCTCTTCACAGTCAACCCGTAGAGTAAGGTGGCACGATAAGAATACAAGGGCCTTGGAAGGCCATGCCGACACTGTGCGAGCGGAGCGCGGCCAGCGAAAGCGGCCAAGGATGGGCCGAAGGGGAGGGATGCAAGGGTGACCTTGGGACGTGGCTCCTCCTTACTATGCGGGTTGACTGTATGGCCGTCCTGGGGCCCTGTTGGGTCGTCTTGGGGCCCTCTTGAGAGCCTCCTGGGCAATCTTGGGGCAGTCTCGGAGGCCGTCTTCGGCCGATCTGGATCCGCAAGGCGAGAACGCAAGAGCCCACGGAAAAATCTTACGGAAATCAGTGTCGATTGCCTCCTCGGGCCTTTTGGGGAGTCCTCTTGGGAGCCTGCTGGGCCGTCTGCGGGCATCTCGGGCCCTCTTGGTAGGCGTGGGCCGCCTTGGGGCCCTTTTGGGACCCTGTTCGGCCCACTTTGGAGTCTCATCTGGCTCTTGGGCTCTCTTAGGAGCCTCTTGGGCCCCTCCTGGGGCTTTCATGGGGTCCTCGCAGCCTGTCTTGGGTCCTTTTGTGAGCCTCCTGGGCCGTCTTGGGACAATCCCGGAGGCCCTCAGAACCATATTCGGCCGATCTGGGCCCGAAAGGCGAGAACACAAAAGCCAACGTAAGTATTCGTGGGAAGCTGATGTTGTTTGTCTCTTCAGGCCGTCTGGGAGGTCCTCTTGGGAGCCTGCTGGGCCGTCTTGGGGCCATCCCTGGCCCTTTTGAGCTCCCTTGGGAGCCTTTGTGGCGACCCTGTTTTTTGCGCGTCGCTCAGATGCTTTGTTTTGACGGTGCTTGGTTTGCCGCAGGTAGCTGGATATCTTCCTCAGTTTCATCAGCCGCAGCAAGCGAACGATGCGGGCGAGGCGGAAAAATCTGAGCAGCTTCATCGTCTCCGAGCTTTGGTCTCTGGATGTCTGCGTGGCGAGGCTCGCGATTGAGAAGATCCAGTCGGGTACCACCACCGCCAGGTCGAGCCAGAACCACGCCCGCAAGTAGTTTTTGAGGATTAGCAAAGGTGTCATCACCAACTCACCAGAGTCAGAGTAACCTACCGTGCACATCATTGGCATGTTCGAAGTCCAGTAAATCAACGTGAGCCAATCCCCACAGGTCGTCAGCAGGGTGTCGTCGAGCTGGAAGCAGATCTGCAGCGGCAGGACGACCAGGTCGTAGAAGATGAGCAGCGAGCCGACCAGGTCCCAGAGCAGCCTCTTGGGGCTGCCAGGGTTGGCGATCCACTGCTGCATGCGCTGGTTGTAATCTCTCCTCTTCACGAGACACGGCGGCTGCACGTCGCTCGAGCCCTTGGGCACTGCTCCCCTCCTCGAGCGGCGGGCGGCCATCTCGATCTGCCGGCCGTCCTGCTGCTCCAGCCAGATCCTGGCCGGCGGGTAGGCCATCTGGCTGACATTGGGGAACCAGCTCGTGGACCTGGACACCTCGGTGAACAGCTGCCCGTGAGCCCCAGAGAGGACGCTGCTGGGCGTTCCCGGAGACTCCTTGGGGGCGAAGTTTGGGGGGGGGGGGGGGCAGCTCAGGCTGGGGACACGTCGAACTGAAATCGGCGACGCATCGCCAATAGATCGGCGATGGGCCCCCACTTGCGAATCCGCACGCTCTTCGGACGAGGGGGCTATGGGGCCCCTATCGGCGATCAATGGCCGGTTGGGGGACGCTGCATCCCCCCTAAGCCTGCCCCTGCACCGCAGTGATCCCCACCGTCTGGTTTTTCGAATTGGGGGGTTCACCACAGAATCGATTTGCTCTAAATTTGATTCTCCCGCCGAATAGGCAAGAATCGCGGAAAATGTTCGTAGATCTACGGGACATTATACGCATCTTCCGTAGATCCAGCGGGAAAATCACTTCGGGGATAAATCGATTCGCTAGTCGATCCCCCACTCGAGTCTTTGGGGTACAACTCGGCTCCCCGGCGGCCGGTCGGGACGAACCCGGCACCGCCCGAACGCTCTCGGGGAGGCGCAGCTGCCGAAGCATGCCGAGGCTGGGAAACCGCCGAGAACCAACGAAAATGCCAGAAAATCTCGAAGCCGGAGCCTTGAACCTCGAAAACCTGAGGCTATGGTGTTCGAGGTTCAGGGTTCGAGCCTCGAGGTTTTCATCCGTTTCCGTGGGTTCTCGGCGGTTTCTCAAGTCTCGGGGTGCCTTCCACCAGCCCAGCCCGCCCCGCCCAGGAAGGCGGGGATCTGCAGCCAGGGGCCCACCGCCGATCCATCGGCGGCGCGAGGCCGATTCCAGCTCGCTGCGCTCCCCCCGCCCGAACCTCTCCCTCCCCAACGGTTGCCCCTGAAGTCCTCGTCCGGCTGCGCGCACTCGATTCTGCCAGCGGCGGCGGCTGCCGCGCGCGGGCCGCGCCCGACCTCGCCAGAGCCCTGGGCGGGGCGACTGGCGGCATCGCCGGCGCCGGGAGTCGGCCGGACCTGGGGGAGCAGCAAGGTCTAGACAGGAGGAAGCGTGATCCACCGCCGCTTTTCTGTGGAAAATTCCCGTTCCCCCCCCCTCCGAAAATCCCCCCTGCCCTGCTCGAACCCCCCCCCTCCCTTCCCCCCCCCATCACTAACCCCTCCCCCCCGCCTACCTCCAGAAAACCGGGGGGGGTCACTACTGGTTCGAACCCCCCCCCTCGAGAAAACCGAAGGGGGTCACTACTGGTTCGAACCCCCTCACCGCCGGCAAACGACTCCCGGGTCCCCACCACCGTCCTCACCACCGCCCTCACCGCTGTCCCCAGCACCACCGTCCCCACCACCAGTCCCACTGTCCCCACTGTTCACTGTTCCCACCATTGTCCCCACTGTCTCCACCAGTGCCCCCACCACTGTCGCACTGTCCCCACTGTCCCCACCACTGTTCCCACCACGGTCCCACTCCCCACTGTCCCCACTGTCCCCACCACTGCCCCACTGCCCCCACTGTCCCCACCACCGTCCCACTGTCCCCACTATCCCCGCCGCTGTCCCACTGAGCTGTCCCACTGTTCCCACCACTGTCCCCACTGTCCCCACCACTGTCCCGACTGCACCTCTGTCCCATTGTCCCACCACCGCCCTCATCACCGCCCTCACCACTGTCCCCACCACCACCGTCCCCACCACCGTCCCCACTGTCCCCACAAATGTCCCAGTGTCCCCACACCACTGTCCCCACCACCACCGCCCCCCCACCACTGTCGCACTGTCCCCACCCCTGTCCCCACTGTTCCCACTAGTGCCCCCACTGTCCCCACCAGTGCCCCCATGCACCAGTGTCTCATCGTCCCCACTGTTCCCACCACTGTCACCACCACGGTCCCACTCTCCCCAGTGGCCCCACTGTCCCCACCACTGTCCCACTGTCCCCACTGTCCCCACCACTGTCCTACTGTCCCCACTGTCCCCACCAGCGTCCCACTGTACCCACTGTCCCCGCCGCTGTCCCACTGTGCTGTCCCAGTGTCCCCACTGTCCCCACCACTGTCCCACTGTCCCCAATGTCCCCACCACTCTCCCCACTGTAACACTGTCCCATTGTCCCACCACCGTCCTCACCACCACCCTCACCACTGTCCCCACCACTACCGTCCCCACCACTGCCCCAGTCCCCACCACTGTCCCACTGTCCCCTCGCCACTGTCCCCACCACCACCGTCCCCACCACTGTCCCACTGCCCCCACCACTGTCCCACTATCCCCCCAACACTGTCCCCACCACCACCATCTCCGCCACTGTCCCAATGTCCCCACCCCTGTCCCATTGTCCCGAGGAGCGGGAATCGTTTCCCGGCGGGGGAGGGGGGGAGGGTTCCAACCGGCATCTCCACCCCGCTTTTCATGATGGACTGGGTATGGGAGGGGGGGTTCGAACAGACAGTGAACCCCCCCGGTTTTCTCGAGGGGGGGGCGGCGGGTTGGGAACCCCCAGTGACCCCCCCGGCTTTCCGCCAGCAGCGATAGAGCACGGTCTTTCCTAGATAGTTGAAGTCAGGTCGGGCATGTCCTCCTGCAGGCAGCTTGTGGAAGAAAAAATACCCCAGTGCGACCCTACCTAGAAGTTGGAGCCCCTAAGAAAGCAGCAGTAGTTGCTATGATTGATATATACTATGCCATGCTATGCTGCGTTATACTATGATATGATATGCTATGCTACGTTGCGCTATGTTATGATATGATATGATATGATGTGAGATGTCATGCTAAGCTATGAGATGCCATGCTGCGCTGTGATATGCTAAGATATGCTATTACCTGATATGGTAAGATGTGCTATGATATGATGTGCTATGATATGCTATGCTATGCTGTGCTATGCTATGTATATGATATGCTATGATATGATATGCTATGCCGCGCTATGCTATGTTATGCTGGGCTATGCTATGATATGCGATGATGCGATATGCTATGCTACGCTATGCTATGCTATGCTGTGATCTGCTATGCTAAAGCTCAGCGAAGCTAAGATGAAGGTAAGCTAAGCTAAGATAAACCTGAGCTAAGATGAAGCCAGGCGAAGCTAAGATGAAATAAGCTAAGCTAAGATGAGATAAGCAACGCTAAGCTAAGGGGACGTAACTGGGGGAACCGCGGGGCGGATACTGGGGGAACCGCCCGGGGCGAGTTGCACTGCCCGGCCCTTTCAGTTTACCGAGTAAGAACCCTTCTAGGCAGAGCCTAGGTAGGGAACATAAACTCCCTGGGCGCCCCCTTCGCCCGTCGCCAGGCTGCCCTCGCAACCGCAGCGCTGGGCGCGCGCCGAAGCCTGCGACACGCCCCGCGGCGCGGGCGCCACGCCGCGAAGGCGCGGGCGCCTCGGGCGGGCCGGGCGCGGGGCGCAGCGCGACCAAGCAACGGGCGAAGACGGGGCGCGCCGGGGCGGGTCAAATCCCGAGCGCGGGTGCACGACCCACGCCCCCCGCGCGAATCCGCAAAACTCCGCAGCGCCGCGGCGGGCGCGGGCGCCGCGCGAAGGGCGCGAACCTACCCGCGCCGCCTGCAGCGCGCCGAAACGCGCGCGGGCAGCGCGGCGATAGGGCGCCGCCCGCGCCGGCGCCCGCTGCGCACCCCTAGGGCCAGCGAGCGCGCGCGAAAGAGTGAAGGGCCGAGTTCGTACGCAACTTCCCTGAGAACCCCCCTCACCCGTCGCTGGGCTGCGCGCGCAACAACGGCGCCGGGCGCGCGCCGAAGCCTGCGCCGCGCTGCGCGGCGCGGACGCCGCGCGAAGAGGGCGCGGGCTCCTCGGGCGGCCATGGCGCCAGCCGCAACGCGACCCAATGCCATGAGGAGGCCAGCGCCGAGCGCCGCCCACCCGCGAGGCGCGCGGCGCGCGGCGCCCCGGCGCGCGGACGGCGGCCGCAGCTGTCCAACGCGCCAGAGCTGCCGCGCGAGCTTCCAAAGCGGACGGACGCGGCGGCGACGCGCAGCCGCCGCGCGTGCGCGCCTGGCCCGACCGCGGCGACGCGAGCGAGGCAGGCGCCTGACATGGCCCCCGTGCCCCTCTGACACGGCAAATGGCGCGCACGCGTAGCCGACGCGTCGGCGCGACGCTCGGCCCGCGACCGGTTGCGCGCGCGGCGCGCGGCGCTCGGGCACGAGGACGGCGGTCGCAGCTGCTAGTTTCGCCCGAGCTGCCCGAGCTGTCCGAGCTCTCGGACGCGGTCTCGCGCGCAGCGGCCACGCGCTCGCGCTAGGCCGCGCCCGACCGACGTGAGCGAGGAAAACGTTTGACGCCAAGCCCCCTCGCTCATTCGCCGCGGCAATTGGCGCGCCCGCGCTGTCGATGTCGTCGGCGCGCCCCCCGGCACCGCGGGGCGGCGAATGGCCGCCGCGGCGCTGGCGCGGGGACACGCGCGCTACAACCTGCGGACGTCGCGCGCGCCGAAGCCACGGGTTTCGGCCACCCCAAATCGGGCCAAGAGGGGCCGCAAAAGCTGCCGAGCGCACGACCCTGAACTGCGCGAGCGGTTGCGAGCCGATCGCCGCATCGCGCGGCAATGGTGGCAACGCGCGAAGCGGGCACGTCGAGGCGCGCTCGGCGCCAGCACCACCAGCGGAGGACCGACGCAGCCGGCGCGGCAGCGGCGAGCGGCGCGGACTGGGGCGCCCCGCGAGCGCGGCCGCGCGTCGAGCGCCTGCGCCGACTGGGCGCAAACTCGCTCGGCCCCCAGCTGCGCGAACAACGCCTGCCCCACCCGGCCGGGGACGTCCGACGGTAAGTTCGCCGCGCGCGGCCCACGCACGCACCTTGCCGCAGCGCAGCGGTCGCGCGCGAGCGCACGCATACGCCGCCCGGCAACGGCCTCGCCTGCATCGCCGCAATTGCGCCAAAACTGGAGCGCCAGACTTGCGACCGCTGGCCCCCGCGACCCCCCGCGAAAAAACGCCGCGGCGGCCTTGCAGCGCGCGCGCCCGCGCAGTCGGCGCCACGCGCTGCGGCCGAATTGCTAGAGCCGCAACCCGGCTGTCAACGCGACGCGGCAAGTCGCGCCAACGCTGTCGTTGCGCCAGCGCGATTCGCGCGCGGAGCGCGCGCTGCGAGCTGGCTGGCGGGCGCCTGAGAAGCACGACTGGGAGGGCCGCCTGCTTCGTTTTGTCCCCCCGCCGGCAGCGGGGCGCTCGCGCGCCCGCGGTCGCCGCGCCTCGGCGGGGCGCCAATGCTTTTACCCGCGGGAGCCGCTGGCTCGCCGATTAGCTGCCTACCGGCACCACGCTGGGCAGCCACGCATCCGCCGCGCACCGCGAGCACGGCGCAACGCGGCTACGCGCCCGCCGCCAACAGATCCCACGCGCGGGGGCGCCGCCGGGGCAGGCAGACACGCGCGCGGGAGATGTCCGCGGCGCCCTTCCCTCACGCGCGCTCGAAGCCGCGCGGCTAGCGCCGAGCGGACGGGCAAAGCCGCGGCGCCAACCGCCGGCGCGGATTTACGGGCGGCTTCACTGAGGCCGATCTGCCTGCGCGCGCGGCCCGCGAGCGCGCGCGGCGCTACAAATCCCCGCCACCCACGCCTCAATCCTCGCGCACCCGCCTCGGCGCGCGCGGCTGCGGCGCACCCGTCTCGGCGCGACGCTCGCCCTCGCCCCTGGCCGCGGCTCGAGGCCCCCGGGACTTGCCCTGGCCTCTCGCCGCTGGCCGAGGACTTAGTCGTCCCTTTTTCCTTCATTTGCGGTCTGCATGGGGGCCACCATTGGCGCTCCCCTTCTGCTGCCGCTCGGACAGATTAGGATAGCCGCGCGCCGCGCACTCGCGCTCGGCGCGCACGCGCAGGCCCCGTTCTTGTCGCCGCGCGGTGCGATCCACGTCGAAGGAGCCGGCGCCGCTAGCGCGATCGGGCCACTCGTGCCTGGTCAGATCCTGATAGAGGACTGCAAGGGCCGCGGCCTCGCGCACCCCTCGCCCCCGGCCGCGATGCGCACGAGCGCTTCCGGCGGCAGCTAACGAAGAGGGG